CCCCGACATTGAACGGACGATTTAGGAAACTAACGTTAGCTGAGCTAGCAGAATACCCGAGTCACCACAGACTGGTTAATAATTTGTATAAGCAAAACAAAATAAATGGGTTTCTTAGAAAAGCGGAAAAAGATAATGAGAAAAGAAAGCAAATTACAACGCAACTGGTTAACACAAAAAATTAAATCGAAACTGACAGCAGTAAGGGTGACGATGATGGTGAAAGCAGCTACAGTGAGAAATATGACACTGGCACATGTATAATAAATAGCCATCTTTTTGTAAGTTCTTGTAATGAAAAAAAAAAAGATGGGGTCATCTAGTTTTGCATTCCTAACGTGGTTCAAACTATTTTTTTTGCTGATTCACAGATTGAGCCAAAAAACAACACTTTGTTACAGACAAGATTGTTGACATCAGATAGACAGGGCTAACGTTCCTTTCCTGAACCTTTACTAATGTATTTCCTGTGACTAGCTATTTGAAAGTCAAAGAAAAAAAATAGCGGTACCTTGATTCACGCGCATTAGTTAATAGCTGTGTGAATCACAACTTTTCTTTTTTTTTTGCCAGATTTTTTGAAAAAAAATGAAATCAGTTGGATGGATATATACAAGGCAGAATTTGACAGTTAAAAAAAATTGTCATCAAACAAGCTGCTCTCTGATTGGTCTAACTGTTAGTTGTCATGATTGGGTAGCCAATCAGAAACAACCTTGCAAGTACCGGTAGATTCGTGCTGCCTTTCAATCCGATCCACAGTATTTAGAAATAATACTGGAAGCAACTCTAATTTTATTATAGCGAAATAAATAAATTTGATTTTATAACTGTGTAAAAGCTGCAAATTGCCTGAGTATTATGATAATTAGTTAATTAATCAGTTTGTTTTTAATTTGGAACTAAATGCCCGGTCACAGCCAATTGTTTTTAGCTGTTTGTATATGGGATTACCTTTTAATACACATGTAGCTGCGATATGAACTCGATTAAAATGCGTTCTCATATAGGGTTGCGTTAAAATCAATTACAATGCAATGCGTTTTAATTAAGTTTAAAAAAACAAGCAGCCTGTCGGCTGAGATAGCTCCGCTGTTAGCAATGCACATTTCAATTAAAGAACAGAAGATATCATTAGAAAATGAACAATATGTATAGTATGTATAGCAATCGGACTTGCTGTTTTCAACAAGAATTCAAAAATATCGCTTTTTACCAAAAATAACATGAATATTCATCAAAATTAGATAATTGAAGATATCACGAAATGAACAAATCTGAGAGAGGTCCACATGTAATACCTATATATGTAATATCAAAGCAATCAGACTTGCGGTTTTCAACAAGAAGTCAAAAATATCACTTTTTACCAAAAATGACAAAAATATTCACCAAAATTAGAGAATTGAGGATATCATCACAAAATGAACAAATCTGAGAAAAAGTCCACATGTAGTACCTATATATGTAATATCAAAGCAATTGGACTTTTGGTTTTTAACAAGAAGTCGAAAATATCACTTTTTACCAAAAATGACAAAAATATTCACCAAAATTAGAGAATTTAAGATATCATCACGAAATGAACAAATCTGAGAAAGGACCACATGTAGTATCTGTATATGTAATATCAAAGCAATTGGACTTGCGGTTTTTAACAAGAAGTCGAAAATATCACTTTTTACCAAAATTACAAAAACATTCACCAAAATTAGAGAATTGAAGATATCATCACGAAATGAACAAATCTGAGAAAGGTCCACATGTAGCATCTATATATGCAATATCAAAGCAATTGGACTTGCGGTTTTTTACAAGAAGTCAAAAATATAACTTTTTACCAAAAATGACAAAAATATTCACCAAAATTAGAGAATTGAAGATATCATGAAATGAACAAATCTAAGAGAGGTCTACCCCAGGTACATACACACCAAATATCAAAGCATTCAGGCTTGTAGTTTTCAAGAAGAAGTTGAAACAATAAAACATTGACACGGATGACGGACGCCGACGGACAATCACTCATATGATAAGCTCCGCTCGACAAAGTCGACAGCGGAGCTAATAAAAGTTGAATATCCCGTGACTGAACATAAAAATGTTTGTGAAGCTTAGGTTTAGTAAAGAGGGTAGGTATAGTACAATTATATTAATATTACGGTAAAAACTGTATTAGAAACCGCGGCTTCTATTAAAATGGTACAATGCAACAGAGGGGATGCGGCTTCTATTAGAGCATCTACACATATGAGAAATGATGAATTTTTGGTTCTCAGATATTCAAAAAGAATAGGTGCGACTTCTATTTGGGATGCGGCTTCTAATACAGATTTTACGGTAATATAAATTGAAACATACCTTCCCCCTTTACCAAACCTAAGCTTTGTAAACTTGACTTAAATTGGATTAAATATTAATATAAATTATGAAAATAGCGAGAGTCATCACAATGTAGGTTCTGTCATCACAAGTCGGTGTAAAGTCACAACACACACACACACACACACACACACAGGGCAACATTTCTATTGTATGGAATAAAAGATAGTTAAACCAAAAAAAAAAAAAAACATTTTGACCAACTATGCGAGAGAGGCACCTCACTGAAAAAACAAACATTTATTGCATGAAAAGTTTTCTTTAAAAAAAAAACATAAATTCATTTTCTACTCAAAAGTAACAAACTGATAATAAAATTGCACCAAGTTTTGTTTTTCAGTATCACTTAGTTAGTTGTAGTTAGATACTTAGAAACAGACTTTTTAACAATAAAATAAAATGCCAAAAAACATTATATCAACAGACGTTGGAAATAATATAATGTAATAAATGTAATAAGTGCAAACAAATAAACCCTCAAAAAATGGTTGTCGATTCCTCATTATGAGTTGTACACTGGTACAACACAGTATCCTGGACTTGTACAACACTTGAAAAATATAACCAAAATTGTCAATATTTCAAAAAATTATACAATTTAGTAGTGTGAATAAAAAAATTGGTAAATCTATTTTGCCACCTATCAGTAAAGATGGCAGATTGTTTGACCTGTTATAAAAACAAGCTACATACTCGCACAGTCTGTGATGTGTTCATGACAGAAAATACACAATTAGCAAAGCAATTAATCAAACGCTTCAATAAAATGTTTGTTTTTTTTTTGTTGTGTGAGGAAAAATCAATTTCATTTGAATCATTCCAAACATTTGATGTTTGCTAAATAAAGACTTTGAAATTTAAATACCATAATGTTTTCTTAAAAATACTCTTCTTGTCATGTCTGAAACTCACTTTTTTTTTACCAAATTCACACTTTAGCATTTGATGACCATGGATAACCATGGATAACCATGGATAACCAGGATAACCATTCCAATTTTGGCAAAAAATGAAAGCTAAAAACACTTATATAATATACATTTTTAAACAACAAAAACTAATCATGCCAAATTTCCCAAAAATATTTACGGGAAGTCCTTTTATATAACAAAAAAACTTTGAACTGCAGCATGTTCAGCGGTGTGTAGAAAATACTAGTTATGTATTACTAGTTTTTCCATGCACAGAAATTACAAACAATTAAAAAAACATATTCACTATATTAAAGCACAACTTTATTGCAACACACCCCCTCAATGCAAATGAACTACTCCAAAAACCCAATACAACATGTAATAAGTGGGAAATTCCATTCCATTTAAGAGGGGTTTGTCTATATATACAGGGAATGTATTGTATGTACATAACAATTTTACAAACCCTCCACCAAGTAATAAAGACATGATTAAATGCCTGTTCCCATGGCAACTTAATTTGGAACTGCTCCACAGGTTTTGCAATCTGACTAATACACAATTATGACTAATATTTTGAACACTGTGATAAAATGTATAATTTCAATTTGCAGCACATCGCGTTTCCTTTGGATCAAGATAAAAAAAAACATGTAGTGTTAATTAATAATATCACTATAACTTACAAATATTATATTTCAAAATATTACAATATAACCGTCCCATCTCTTTGTTTCACTTGTTCATCATTATCTCTCCATTCACCTGCTTTATTTAGTCATACTATGTCCATATATAGGCATCTCCATATAATGTATTCAATTACAGCAGCAAAGTGCTTTCCTGAATGCACAAAACACCAGTAACGTGTTCCCATTTTGGTTCATTCGTTTTAGCGAGATTTCAGTCTCAGGAAGCAAACCTAAAAACTGGCTCATGATTACAAATGTTTCATATCGACGGCGACACAATTGAATGGTAGTTAATGTTGAGACAAGCTGATGATGTCACTGCAATGTTAGATATCACATCCATGTCTCCTGCAAGAAAGAAATGACACACATATATATCAATCATTACAGAAAATTCTGTAACAGACTGAAAAAGTATTAAAAGATTGAAAAACACAATCAGAATGAAACAAATATATTGTACTTATATTGAAATGGCATTGAATGTTCATATGAACGAAAGGACAGACAGAACCCTAATTAATAGTCCCCGGATTTCTGATTTTGTCTGAAACAGGGACTAAAAAGAAGAATTTGCTCATTAATTCTAAGCCAACCACCCCCACAGAAATAATGATGTACCTTTTGAAATATGTCAAAGATAAACATTTACCTGGTACATGTATGAATGTTGGTCGAGGAATTTCCTCCAATTTAGGGTAATCTGCAGACAACAAATCGTTTTGATTCTGATAGTTATTGAGCTGCATCAAATCCATTGCTGTTGTTGAGGGGACATTACTCACTGATACTGCAACTGTGAGTGGAAAAAATCGAAAATATAAATATTATATTTGTTTTGAAAGTCAACTTTGGATCAAAATATACAACACACTTTCATTAGCTGTTTAAATTTAAAAAAAAACAAATCTTTCAGAAAATGTATATGAAAAGTTTATTATAACTAAATACTGCAAGCATCAGGCCAATCTGCAAATGCACCCCTATCTTCTTTAATATGTGCATATTAACTGCACCCCTATCTTCTTTAATATGTGCATATTAACTGCACCCCTATCTTCTTTAATATGTGCATATTAACTGCACCCCTATCTTCTTTAATATGTGCATATTAACTGCACCGCTATCTCCTTTAATACGTGCATATTAACTGCACCCCTATCTTCTTTAATATGTGCATATTAACTGCACCCCTATCTTCTTTAACATGTGCATATTAACTGCACCCCTATTGGCCCGACGGCATTTCAATCAACCAATCAAATTTGTTAACCCACAGTGATAGACTTAATTGACCAATTTGTAGGTAACGAAAACTCAGAAACTGCATAGATTTGTTGATCGCTTTTGGCCGATATCCACTAACCATCCTTACCTTGAAAAGATGAATTTATCTGCATATTATTATTCTCTTCATTCTGTAAATAACATTTTCCTCCCACCGTGCTTTGAATCCATGACGTTGCATTTTCTACTGATTTCAGATCTGATAGAATATCATCGCTATGGAAACTAACGGGTGAGTCAGGACCACTTTGTCGCATTTCATCCACCATCTAGAAAGCAATGTTTGAGGTTGTGAGTATTGTCACAGTTACCATGGTAACTAACTGACTGCAAGTGTAATAACAGGTATTTATTTATTGCATGCTTCTACGAAAATATTCAGTTTCATGATTCGATAATTGACATCATATACTTACATTTACGACTTCCTCATCTGTTGGTACACTACTTGTATTACTGCTGGTATCTTGAAAGAGAAAATTGTAAAGAACACTGTCTTAAAAATGTCCCAACTGCATTTGAATAAAGGGGTTGGAAAATATAAGTCGGAAAATACTGAATTTGAAAAAAAAAGTCTGCACAAAGATTAAATTAAAAAAAAAAGTTAAACAATTGAAATCATTTGCTGTGGTATCTTGTTTGTAATTTTTTTTTTTTTTTTTTTTTTTGAATGTGCTAACATTTTTTATGAAACACCTTGCTGGCATTTTCTTTTTCTCTTTATGTCTAGTTGTAATTTGTTTTCCCATCAAATCTTGTCAATTTTGTGAAAAAGATGAAGAAACTCTCAAACATTTTATTTTGCAATGTTCAAGTTTTAAAATAAAAAGGGAAAACTTAATGTGTGAAATAAAAAAAAAGTTATTGAAGATTAAAGAAACAAATTTATCTGATAACTTCCAGCAACTGAATAACAAAGAGTTAGTATGCCTCCTTCTGGGAGGAAAAAGAATATGTTACACTATAGACAAACTTATGAAAGAATTTTTAGTTGATGCCATGGATGCTAGAACAACATTTAAGTAGATTATACTTATAAGTAGATTGTAATGTTATTTTTATTGTACTAATATTAATTTTGTTATATGTTATTTTTCATGATCTATAACAGTATTTCTTGTACTTATTTTAAGAAATGTATCTTTAATTTTGCAGCTCCTGTACAAGTGAGCCCCTGCTTTAAAAGGGTAGCAACAAATAAATAAATAAATAAAAAATCTTCCTGCCCTCCCCTGTGATTCCAATGGGCGATCCCTTTTTATAAAAACACAAACATGGTGTATACCGTACGTGGAGAAAAAATGAAAACAATATACCGGTAGTCAGCTATCTCAAGATAAGGTCATGTACATGCATCAGTAAACCAAATATTCACCAACACAAATATGGAAAACAATCCAATTTATTTTAACATTATATTTTTTTTTTCTACTTTTATTTGCTTGTCAGTTTTTTTTTTTATTTTCTTGTCTGTATTTTTATTATCACTTTAATTGTTTGTTTGTTTGTTTGTCTTTCTTCACATTTGTATTGCATTTTATTCAAAATCCTAATAGGGATACGAACGCAATAAAGATAATTATTATTACATAATTAATAGAGTGGACCACCATTAGAAACAAACCTGGGGGTGATGAATCGCATGAATAAATTATAATGAGAAGCAAAATTAGTGAAAAAGTAGTATTAGTAAATGTTGTAAAATTACTCAACTCACCATCGTCTATGTGCATGCTGTACTCTATATCACTGTCTGGCTGATACGATGGCGCTTTTTCTAATTTTATGTCAGGTGACAAAATGGCGGACGGGTAAATAGTGGATTGTGACATGGAGGTATAGACATTTCTTTCATGCGGAATTGTCCACCCATTTGTTAAAGCAGTTGATTCTGAAAATGATAATATAGAATTAGTGTTCACGGTTTATTAGGTTTATTCTGGCGGCCATACCTAAGTTGCATGTTGTATGGACTATTCTATTATGTTGAGGGGTGAAAAGATGTGGCAATAGAACACATTCTTGCAATATGCAAATCGTAATGGTGATTTAGGTTTTTCGAATTTGTCATTAACGTTGCCTTTCGTTGGAAACTAGCTTTCAGTTTTAAATTTAGAATCCCAGACCATTAAAGTATGGAGTAGAATCACAGTCAGCAATTTTTCAATGATAATTTTAACTTTAAAAATGCCATGATTTATAATAATAAATAGTACTGGTCGATTAATTTGGATTTTTCACCCTCAGATAACGATGTGTGCAAAATATATAGGATGCTTCCTGTCCGGGGATTACCGTGCTCTCACAATTTTTGATGACAAATGTGTTCTGCTTCCCTAAACCTCGGCTGTGTTCCTTACTCAGGCTGTTAATAACTCTGGCCCTAAAGTATCTATAAAGAGTGTCATCGTTTTGGCAAAACGCCAGGCGTTGTCTGATTTAACCAGAAACAGGTCGAGTCCACAAACGGTTGATATAAACAGTACTTGTTACCAACGTTACCGGTAAAAACAAAAATCGGCAAGCTGATAGTGCATAAATCGATTGTCGACAGCGCCCTCTTACCTGTTTTTATATTTTTGGCGTAGCTATTGTGATCGTGCGGTTCTTCTTTGATTGAAAGTGCGCTCTGTTCTTGGTGATCTCCTTCTTGTAATTGCGACATCGATCGCGTCCTAGGCCTCAGACACTAATCATATACACAGAAAAAAGTGTTAACTTAAACAAATGTTTTATTTGTGGTTTTGAATTTTGGAGCCTGGCTAGACGGCACATGTATTTGCAATGACATAACTAAATTCATGTTAGGAGTGAGGCTATAGGGACCAGCCTATATTATCCCACTCATAGATCGTTTGCATCTGCCTTTTACACGTCACGCAACATTGCTTTGTATTCACATGTAATAGCGTCGACTGCAGTCTCCAAACAATGGAAACAAAGCGAGTCTTGGGAGGTTCGGTAAGTGAACAAAGAGTGCACGTGATCCGATCACCAACAGTCACAAGAACAAATACTTCTTATTCATGATTGAACACTGTCGGAAGTTAATATTTTCCCACTTTCTTTCGCCACGATTAATAATTATTACAACAAAGAAACCAACTTACATGATTAATCGTGGCCGTCTTCGTTTTAATATTCCTCAAATGATTGCTTGCTCGTTCGTTTGTCCTGGTTGTCTTCCTTGGCGGTTTTGATTGAGCGCCGATTCCTGCAATGAAAATATACAAACACGCCGATTTGTTAATATCATATTTGGTGTCATATCTATTATTCCTTGACTTGACATACTAAATAATATGGAAGACACGGGGAAATCAACGATCGATCAGTGGGCACGTAGACGGACACCATCGCACGTTTGATGAAAACACGAAAAATCATGATTATATCTGGATTTCAGAATTCCACCCGGGCCGAGAACGCTGTGTCAAGTTCAGTTATAGAATTCCACTTCACCACATCAGGCTTCGAGTACGCCAAATTGATTCGACTTTTATTTGTATAATCATTTGTAAATTCCATGTAATTAGCGTTTATTCAGCTTATTTCTTTATTTAAATTGGTTTTCTCCGCCTTACGTGTAATGACTAGATCTGACTGGAGGTGCTCCTGTAGGAATGTCGATGTTGGTGAGTCGAATTTATGCGAGAACAAAGTTCTAGTCGCAGTTCTTGGTACTTGAGTTTGTAAATGGTGAACGCACTGACTGTAGAACTGATTGTATTAGGTTACGAGATCTCACACCTCCGCAACTCTAAGCCCACGCAAATTGCTCACGTGACGATGAGGTGAGGCCGCAACCCAGCTATTGCCCACGGTCCACCACCGCAAAATTAAAATAGGTAAACAAATTAGTACGAAGTGGATTCTCGGTTACTAGTATTTTAAGTACGGACAATTGAAACCAATTTTCATTCGGGTTTTTAAAATGCGCTTAGAGATAATCACACACTGGCTCACCTTTTCTCCTTCTTTCAGCGTTTTTTTTCGGCAGCAACCTGTAAACTTTGAAGGCATTGTTTCCCTTCCTTATACTTTTGCTTGGTTCTTCTTGAATGTCCGGTAGAGAATTCAGGGCACACCGAAAGTTGGCTTTCCAAGTCTTCGGTCTTGGTTTGTCCCCCTTCGAGAGGCTGTACTTGCCTGCAAAAAAAGTCGTCACTCATGATATAAACACCAAAATCTTATTGGTAATGTTGATTTGTCGTTGTTGTCATTGACCATGCCACGCTGTCACCTCCCCAGTCGGGAATTCCAAATGGAATCTCTATTTCGTCAAAGTCTCAAGAGCCCAAAAGTATGCTCCCTCTTTTTTGAGTTCAATCGCGTGGGCGTTTCCAAGACTTTAAAAATTCATTTCAAACTAGAGAAAAGACCACGTAAACAATTTTAACGACTAGGATTGCTTCGATGAAGCACTTTGTTACTAGTATTTTTTTGTTTCTATTCATCTGTACTAAAAGTAATTTTTATAAGACAACTATTGAATGTTTTTGTCAGTTTTTCTTCTTCCAAATTTCACCCCTTTTTTGGAACTTCGACAAATATTTGTTTTTCTTTTTATGCCGGGAAATGACATATTTTATGAATAATGTAAGTCAGTTATGTCCAGAAATAAACGGAAATAAATAATTAAAGTTGTCATTCAATTGATGGATCGCGGCTCGTGAAATGTGAAAATTAACTATTCGATTTATCGACCGTTTTTTCTTGCTTTCATCGGTTCAACCATGGAAGGTACCTTCCATGGTTCAACTTACCAGTATGTATCGCCCAATGCATAAACAAGCATGCGTCCCTATCTTTATCCCAGCCATGGCGTGCGGCGTGTTTCCATGGTATTTTGAACAATCCCTTTTCTTTGTCGAACCATTTCAGTCCCGGAATCGTCTCGGATGTGAGTTGTTGTTCGAGCCACGGCCTCATACGGAGCCTCTCCGTGGTTTTCTGGGAGTTCTCGTTGCTCGGCATCTGGACAGGCATATATGGCATTCCTTCTGGGTTGGGAAATACGCAAAAAACATATATTAAATTCTATGATCGATTCCAAACAAAAACAGTTTCTTCACCGCACAAGATGGCGACTAGATTTGTGAATGGTTGCCGTAGCAACAAATTGCAAATCCAATATACTCTCAGGCAAGCCTCGAATATCGGGTGACATTTTCGTGAATTTTATATGTGTTTTTTTCTGAACCATTGCTATAACAACCATGGGCTTAGTAACGATTTGTTATGGCAACATGTAAAATAACTTGTCCACGTACATAGGGGCATCCGTCCATGTAATTGATATGTATTCAATGTCAACGTTGAAACATAATTAAATATATAGGTTAGATGGGGCAACAAGGTTCCCTATTTCACTGTGACTTGGTAGGGTAGGCGTGATCGATGACTTTCATCAATTGAATTAACAGGGATTAAATATTTGTTTAAAATAACCGACAGTACCAATGTGTAAAAAAAAAGTGTTTGAATATGCAGGTTTACGACTCGGTGATAGTGCCATCTAATGTTTTAATTCACAAATCTTGTTTGAAAGTAGGAAATTTCTATTTTAATTAGCTCGTTAATGGATTCATCGAAATAGACTCGAATACACAGTTACAGGCACATATACACACACTCACACCGGCTTCTCTGATAACGCTATTAACTTGAACAACAAAACCTACATGAATAAAAAAATATGAACCAACGCTTGGACAATCAATGAACACACGAAGTCCAGTATCGTATCCGGCCCGCTATGGAAATAAAGCACACCACATGAAATCTCTCCCTACCTCTGAATCGCGGACACACAAACGGCTAGGCGAGTACAATTTGAAATTGTATTAAAAAAAGACTGCATACATACGCCTGGGCCATTCATAGATCAGTGTTGTGGACATGTGACCTGCTATGATTCACCTATACACTGTGCGTTGCGAAACTCTCGTGCAATAGACGAAGACGTGTTTCAACTAGCGGAGCGAATGACTCATTTTTGTACCCTCGCGAATAAAAGAAATAAACATTGCGACATGAGATATCTCTCGACTCATTTTTATCAAACACAATTAATTGTTTTGAAAACAAAACAGGACACGGCAATGAAATTGCGGCTATAAATTAAAGATGATGTCCGGATAGTACACCTTTGATTGCCATAAAAGGTTGCCCTTAAACGCGTCATTTCTCGTGCCGTGGTTAGATAATAACACATATTTAAACCAATCAATTTATATAATCAAAACATCACTGTTAATAAGTAACGCGCACCGCAATCTGTGACGTCACATCCACCAACTTAGGGGAATTGTAAGGGGATTTCCCCCTGGTGAAGTACAGGTAAACACGTGGCAAGCATTGCAGTAGATAGCGCTCAATATTTTTGACTTATCACTGAACTCGCTGATGAGTTGGATAACGGGATTAATAGACGTTCAGATGTTGAATATACGGGTATGGGAGTTGGAGATTTGTGTGAAAAGCAGACTTCAAAGTTGGTAAACTATCGTGGGCTGTACATGCGACATGCTAAGGTTTGATGAGTCATGTTTCGGCGAAGGATTAAAATAGATAGGCCCGGGTCTCCAAAATCGCTGAATTTGCAGTTTAAACCCTCATTGTTAATATACGGAATTGTTTCACCTGCGGAGAAAATTCGGACAAAACGCGTTAATAATCCGGCGTTGTAGTTACTGTAGATTCGGCGCCATCTTGGGTTATAATGACAAACTTCGGTTGTTGTTGAACAGTAGAAGCTAACAGCAAACATACAGAATCGATTTGTAATTGATTTTTTCTTTTTTCAACTACAACATAATTCAATTAGTGGCACAATTGTAGTATTAAAACACACGACTACGAAGTGCAGTTTTTGAATGCTGACCCAGTATATATGCCGGGCTGTATACTTACCGAGGCGCATGTTACTTTCTAACAGGACGGTATAAATGCAATGCGAAAACTCGAATAAGTTAAACAGCTCTGGCCAACTTGATACCATCCACGGCCTGTTTACGTATATCCGTTTCACTGCCGTTCAACAGGTATGACATAAATGGGTGCTGATGGTATAAACGGTAGTATAGGTAAGCACTCTGAAATCTTCGTTTAAGATTTATTTGATTTGCATAATTCATTCATTCATATTGCTTTACACAGTCTCTCTTTGGACATTTTTGTTTCTTTCCGGTCTACGTAGGCGGACAATTACTGCCACCCACGCACAACAAAACATGGGATAGTATTGTGTTTTAGCTACCCGAAGATTTACCGACTTGTCTTTTTTTTGCACTCGCGCACTAAGTTGTTGCCATATATGGAAACGGTTGCCGTATATGGAATGGGTTCGCCGTGACATAGTATCTGATTGGTTGACATTGGCGTGACCCTCAACAATTTCAATTCAATTCTCCGAAATACAAACAGACACGTGAGGTAAGTAATGAATGTGGGTCACTTCGGTGAGTACGCTCCTAGTAGCTTCCAGCCCCCCGAATTAAATGGTATCTCCTGAACATTCACGTCTCGACTTGTCCAACGGCTATAGAATAGAGCGTACCAATGTTATTCAGGTGTGCATTCACACGAAAAGATGCGGAGTTCAGTTTAGGGGCAATGTCATGTTACGACCTGAGAATTAAGGTCACGAAACACACATACCAGAAATTATTTGCTGGGTGCACAAAGCCGCTAAATAAAACCTCCCGCGTTCCAATAGCTGCGGTTGAACCAAACAATCGTCGATTTAAACAGGCTATTGTGATAACTGTTTACTTATTTAACAAAATAAAACTCGCTACTGCAACCACCGGAATAATCAAGCAAATTACATTATTGGTCCAACCTACGCAGTAGAACAAATGACAACGATTAAAAAATACATAATAGTAAGGCTGAGAAAAAAAAATATCTCTGTTTCTCGTTTCCGCGCGCATCATTTTGAACTATGCGCCTCGGACGTTTTTTTCCTTCTAAAGCATTCCAGAGTGCACTTGTCTCAAATTTCCCCCATTTTAGCTCAGTATTCAAAAAAAAAAAAATAGCCTCGCCATGAAACGGGAAACTGAGAATATGCAACCACAGACCCTCTAGCAGAGTCAAGCAAGTGGGAAATTAAACCATATACTTCAGAGAACTGTTTTTAAAGTCTATGATTAAACAAACAATGAACAACAGTTTGTCGAGCCTTGAACAAAATACAACTACCGTCGATTGAAATACATGTACTAGTAACACATGTTTCATGTGATAGGCACTCCTATTAACTGATTATTGTGATTTATCATGTTATTCATTGTCAGATTTTAAACTACTCTACGAAGAAGAACAATATTATTTTTTTTTCTTTCCCTAATCAACTGTCATACTATTGATACCTGTGATTTGTTTATTATCAAAAAGAACTTTTAAAAATCTAATTCCGTTGACAAGTTGACGGAAACTCACAGGTCGGTTCTTTTTAATGAGTGTCACCTGTCATTTTAAATATAAGACGTGACAACAAAGAGGGGAATGAGTGAGATCAGGATATGAATCCGGTCCATTAGTAGGCATATGAATCGGTAATTATTAATATGTTACTCTTTAGTCCGGCGCGTACATCTCAAGAGAGCCATTTGATGCGGCAAAATCTATTGCCGCGTTGTGAGTTTGATGCCGCTAATGGCAGGGGGTATCAGCGATATTACAAGCGATGAAAATATGATAGCTCGGAGCAATTCCGACTTCTTTATGTATTCTCAGTCGGGAAAAAATTACGACATCGATTAGTAGTTGGCTCATACCATCATGGAGTGAAGCCTGGGGGTGATTTTTATGTGTCCCGAGGGGTAAAGGTATCAACTGCTATGACCGAATGGTACCCTCAATACCGCTTAGTTACCTTCGATTAATGTGAATATTTCAATTTGATGGAGAAGTTAGTCAATACTTGTCGTAATATTTACCCCTCTCCCCTAAAAAACGATGAGGCAATATACTGTTTCGTGAAGTAACACGTGGTGAAGACGAGGAGTAGGAACAAGAAGCACCGGAAGAACAGTTTTAGAAATGACATACAGTGATTGGTATGCGGCCAATCAATCGACGCTTGGGCCTGTGGGAAGATTTAAGGCACACCTCGTCACATCTACGCTGCTATTGTAGTCGTCATGATTAGCTAACCAGTGTGCGAATTTGGCCATTGTTGTGGTCACCTCGTATCAATCAGAACGTATAGAAGCCAAACCACAATGAATCAACAATAAAACCGCTAAAACTTCCGATTTAATGTTACGCTATTGTGTTTGATATATATATACTAGTAAATATAGATCAGTTTGTCGACCTCGTCCAGCGAAAGAGCGCATTGTCTCAAATTACGAATTCAATCGTACACGGATTGCAAAATTATATTGTCGTATGGAATGGCGGTGTGCGTATTGAGTATAATATATCATATTGACAATACATTTAAAGAAATGTCGAAAAACAACATGATATAAATTTTTAACCCCCCCCCCCCCAGATACTGTCCCGCGAAAAAAATTCAGTGATTGCAGGGCATTCGAACAAGTCAAACCCAGTTTTTTGGGGCATTGGCGGTTCACATTTTCCTGTAGTACTACGGTGTATTTTAGTTGGGCTAATCAGTTCTCAGACTGAGTTCTATTGACCGTTCAAGTTGACAAAATCTATAAATTATGTTGTAAACCATTGTTGGTTTACAGACCACAGTGTCCATATTATATAGTATGATGCTTATATGGATTTGCATACAGTCTCTTGTTTGTTGTTTTTAATAAAATAAAATATTATGTGAGAGTATAAATATCGAAAACCGGGTTACCGCGAAAACTGGGTTACCGCGATACAAAAAATATGTTTATGCTATGCAATCTACACATCACATATTATTTGATTATTTTGACAGAAACTACCAAGTGCATCCTGGGACAAAAATACCGACATTATATAACAAACCAGGGCCTGAGCATGACATACATAGTACATCCTTAAAATAGCATGTATGTGGACAATAAACATTTACAAACATGTGTTTAACTTCCGTCGATTTTATTCAAACTGGCAGGCATATCCCATAAGTGATATCATGGTTATTATCAGGAAACTCCAAACCATCACGTGACCGGACGACACTGAGGTAGTGATCGGTGCCACTAAACGATGTAATTTCCATTTTTATTTCGGTGATAAATCGAATGAAACATTTTTTACTTTAATACAAATTGTAAGTGCTTTCAAAAGAAGTTTTAACTATCGTGTTACTTTTTTTTGTCACAGGAATTCGAGAGCAAGAAACACTGCGATAAAGACTTCCCGTTTTCGACAAAAAAAAACTGAAAAAATAGATTTTTACAAGATAATTCAGAAAATTATATTAAGTATAAGTCATAACGAAATGTATTTCCATATGCAACACAAGAATGTTACAGAAAAAAAGTAATTCTCTATATATTTGCCTTCTATTTGTCTTGAATTATGACTGAAAGAAGCTGAATAAAATTACAAACTATGTAGTGTGTTCAACAACTCATGTGTGAACAATAACTTTAATAAATATGGACTTACTTAGTAAAAATACTGTATTTTTCTGCATAAAAACGAAAGAATTTCACAAAGTCGAAAACGGAAATTGTTATCGTTTTTTAAGAGGTGAATTGCGTTGAAGATAACGTAAATAAACGGAGGCGTAGTCTTGGTGGCGATGGCGGAAACTGCAACCACTACAGAAAGACCAGTCCTGACCTCTGACGTGTGTTCGTTTTTATCACCTCATGGCGATGAACAAATATGGAACTTTCCTGTCCCATGATAGTATAAACATTTGGATTTAATTCACTATTTTGATATTTTGGTGTATACACTGGATTTTAAATTCCTGGATTTGCCCGCGAACTTCGAAACAAGTTCTGTTGTTATACCAATTTAGTTGAATTCACTCGTTATCAGTGAAAACAAATCTTCGCCAACTCAGGGCCCGTTTATTTGGCCATCGTGGGCTTATACTTGCATCGGAGTTCGCGAAACTGCACGATTCGTACGATGCAGCGAAAATGACGGCGAATTTATTAAATTCAGTAAATAATCAATGCGTTTAAAGTAATGCTCGAATCGACGTCGTTTATTTCTTCCGTCATGGTCCTAATACAGAGCTCAGACTAGTATTACTAGTCTGAGTACAGAGTAAACGGATAAGTACTTAGGGGATCGCATTGGGTTGTCGCGTCTTGAGCTTTAGGTGAAACGATATCGGGCGCGGAGGTAGTCACGGTTCCTGTGAGTGCGTCGTCGTGATGCCTTGAGAACGCTGGGAAAAGAACTCTTTGTAGGATTCCGCAAACGATGGATTGACTGATGGGTTATATTATTCCAGCATGGATTCATAATAAAACAGTAATTTGAAAATATATTATTTATATGACTATGAATAAAGACGCAATTCATAATAATCGAATTCATTGTTGTAACTCTAGCGCCTCTCTGTGGTATCTACAATGAGTGTTAGCCCTGAAAACCTGTAGCGTGTCGTCGATTCTGGGCCATGACACTTTAAGTAGTTTCTTGGCAGCCCGAACAGACTCGCGTTACTTTAATTGAGATATCGCATCAAGATTTGTGTGACTACAAAACAATAAAATAAATATCCGGCTGCTATACAAACAGATACCATGACGACTGGGGAGCACATCATTTACATATCAATAGGAATAATCGCATCTATTGTATGACGTCACAGGCGTGTCGAGTTTAAAATGGGTCACGTGGGTGCTCTGAATTAATTTGCCCCGAACCAAAGAAAAAAGAATGGATATAATACACTTTAGACCAATTAATTTGCCCCGAACCAAAGAAAAAGGAATGGATATAATACACTTTAGACACAGTTCCTCCATTCCTTGGAGTAGGCTAACACACATTCCTGCGTCCATTGTGTGACATAAAGACTCACGGCAGATCATTGTATGCGTTGTTTTATGTGAACGCCCGGGTACACACGTAACAATACGGTCATTTCAGGTAAAAGTAAAGATTATACCGTATGGTCCAAACTAAATTTGGGTTTC